AAGTAGTGATCCACAGGAAGTGACATGGCAGGGACACTCACATATAAACAAGGGCAAGAAGGAAGTGGGCCCTTCTCTCTTCCTCCAGAGTCACCCTGTGATCCCAGGATGAGGATGCCAATGGAAGGCAAACTAAATAAGATAAAATATATAATTTATGATAATTAAGACTGAGCTAACAGATGAGAAATCCTAGTCATTGGCCAAACAGCATTTGTACCTAATATAAGTCTCTGTGTATTATTTGGGGCCCTAACTCAGTGGGCAGAACTTGGGCGGCTGGCAGAAAGTGTCTATGTGTCGGTAGAGCTCAGATGGCTTTTGGTGGAAAGATTACCGTAACAGATTAACACACAAAAATCAGTTGCATTTTTGTAAGCCTGCAATGAGCAATCCAAAAATGTGTCAGTTTCCCACTGCTGTGCTAATTATCCCATAGCAAAGGCACAGAGGGAACATTTAAAAGTCAGCAGCTCTTGGGCTGGAGAGATGGCTCAGAGGTTAAGAGCACCAGCTCCTCTTCCAGAGGTCCTGAGTAAAATTCCCAGCAACCACATGGTGGCTCACAACCATCCATTATAATATCTGGTAACCTCTTCTTGTGTGCAGATATACATGGAAGCAGAATGTTGTATACATAATATAAAATCTTTAAAAAAAAAAGTCAGCAGCTCTTAATGCCACTGAACTGCAAATTAAAGATGGTAAATTAAAATGGTAAATACTACCATATATGTATATACACATACACATATATGTATATACATAAACACACACACACACACACATGTATATATATATATATATATATATATATATATATATATATATATATTTTACCACAGTAAAATAATTTGGGTGAGTGTGGGAACCCATGTGCCTCTTTGAGTGCATGTTTGACAGTCAGAAGACAACCATGGATGTCGAGCCTCACCTTCCACCTGTGTGAGACAGGATGCCTGTTGTCTACCACTGAGTAAACTAGCTGTCCTGGAAGCCTCTAGCTGGCCTGGAAGCCTCTGGAGTTATCCAGTGTCCACTTCCTATGTCTCAGTAGACACTTGAGCTACTTTTTCCAGCGTTAGTGAATTTGGGGGACCAAAGTAGACTTGTTAGGCTTATCTGAGCCATCTCCCTGGTTCATAATAATTTCTGAGGGGAATAATTAGTATCCGTTAAGCAGGCCATTAAACGAGAGAGATGCCTGTTGAGTTTCCAAAGTGATGGGAAGGGAAAGGCTGGTGTGACAGCAGACACTATCTGTGAAGAAGAGGAGAATGAGAAGGTTCAGAAAGGCGGGAAAGAGCTACATAAACTCAGACTGACATATTAAAGAAAGATAGGTTTCTATCAGAATTGTGTATGATAATACATAATTCCTTGTAATTCAATATGTAGTCAATAATCTACCATAATTAGGATAATTATCCTATAAAATTAAATTTAGTAACACCATGTTTATCTTAGTTTATGGAAGGACACTGCATGACCTTCAAATGAGATCACCCCATAAGATGTCTCAGATCATATCCCCATCATCAAGCAATATGTAATATATGCATGTTCTCTCTATATATATTGGCCATATATGTATATTCTACACAGAGGCAATTTTTCAAGCCATTAGTCTTAGTTAGGGTTTCTATTGCTGTGATAAAACATCATGACTAGCCAGATATGGCGGCCAACGCCTTTAATCCCAGCACTCAGGAGACAGAGGCAGGCAGATCGTTTCAAGTTTGAGGCCAACCTGGTCTACAGAGTGAGTTCCAGGATAGTGAGAGCTACACAGACAAACCCTGTATCAGAAAAAAAAAAAATCGTGACTGTAGTAGTGTGAAAGAAAATGACCCTCAAAGGGAGTGGTACTTTTAGGAGGTGTGGCTTTGTTGGAGTGGGTATGGTCTTGTTGGAAGAAGTGTGTCACTGTGGAGCAGGCTTTGAAGATTTATATATATGCTCAAGCCACACCCAGTGAGACCGCCTACTTCTTGTTGCCTGCATATCAGCACATAGCAGCTCCTTCTCCAGCACCATGTCTGCCTGCACCCCATCATGCAAACTGCCACCTCAATTAAATGCTTTCCTTTTTAAGAGTTATTGTGGTCAGGCTGGAGAGATGGCTGAGCGGTTAAGAGCAGTGGCTGCTCTTCCAGAGGTCTTGAGTACAATTCCCAGCAAACATATGGTGGCTCCCAACCATTCGCAATGAGATCTGGTGCCCTCTTCTAGCATGCAGGCACACATGCAGGCAAAATACTATATACACAATAAATAAATCTTTTAAAAAAAAAAGAGTTGCCATGATCATGGTGTCTCTTCCCAGAAATAGAACATGGACTAAGATCATGACCAAATAGGAAGGAAGGACTTGCTTCATCTTACACTTCCAGAAAGCAGTCCATCACTGAGGGAAGTTAGGGCAGGAACTGAAGCAGAGGCCATGAAGGAATACTACTCTTTGGCCTGCTCAGTTTGCTTTCTTTTTTTTTTTTTTCTTGTTTCTTCCTAACCAAAGCTTCTCCTCCCTCCCCTCTCCCCAGTCACCCCTTACCCTTTCTTCTCCCCCACCCCATCCACTTCTCCTCCACTATTTCTCTTCAGATACAGGCAGGCATCCCACAGATCAGTCAGCCATGGAGTATCAATCTGCAGTGATACCAGGCACCCCCACATACACACCAAGTTTGGATGAAGCAATCCGGCAGGAAGAATGGGTTCCAAAAGTTGGCAACACATTCAGAGACATCTCCCACTCTGACTTCTAGGAGTCCCACACAAAGTTATACAACTGTAACATGTATGCAGAGGGCCTAGGTTAGTCTCATGCAGGCTCCCTGGTTGTCAGTTCAGTCTCTGTGAGCCCAGGTTAGTTGGTTCTGTGGATTTTCTTGTGGTGCCCTTGACATCACTAGGTCCTACAATATTTCCTCCCATTCAGTTTGCCTTCTTATACCATCCAGAACCACTAGCTCAGTGTTGGCACCACCTACGTCCACCACAAATCAAAATAATATCCACAAACTTGCCAATAGGCCAAACATATGGAGGTATTTTATCAATTAAAATCCCCCCTCTTTAGGTACATGTAGGTTTGTATACAGTTGACAAAAAACCAACCAGCATACCAGTATATGAGGAAATTGTGGGTTAATTTTGGGGGGAAATGCAGAAAATGAGAAAAACAACTCCCCAAAGTTGCCTCCTGACATCTAATTTTAAAGGCTGGTACGATGAGTCAGCAGTTCAGAGTAGAGGACCCAGGTTTAGATCCCATCCAGCACCCACATCAGGGAGCTCATAACCACCCATAACTCCAGTTCCAGGGGATCAGACTCCCTCTTCCGGCCTCCTCAGGTACATCATGCATGTAGTACGTATATACTCAAGCACACATACACATAAAATATTGTTTGTTTGTTTTTAAAGAAAATCGAACCTGTGTTGACATGGGAAGATATACATGAGAAACAGAAATGAATTCCTGAGAAATGAATGGCTGAGCAATGTGTATAGTATGATTCAGTTTTGTATGCAGTTATGTCCACATCGGCACAGTCCGAAGTCAGGAGGGGTTGTCACTGTTTAATTAAGAGCACATTCCTCTAGAAATATGAATGAAGATGGGGGTAGAGGGAAGCTTTCACTTTCTATTTAATGTTCCTGTGTATGCTGAAATTCTTGCACACAGTCTGTACAATCAATACCATTGTGGGAATGAGGGGAGGAGCTTGACCGAGTAGCAGTGGTGAAAGAGGCAAGATCCTGGCCATGGTCCTGATTTGCTCTGTACACTCAGGCCAGCTAGCTCCCCTCTCTGGACCAGACATGTGCTAATCTGTGTGTGTTGGAAAAGGTGGTGAGTTGAGGCTGGGCAGAGCTCTGGAGAGCATGGGAGCAGTAGCCTTTAAGGCACTGGGTTTGACCAATGTGTTGTTGGCATTTTTAACAAAGAGTCAAATAAAGAGCTGTGGATGTAGCTTGGGTAGAGTGTTTGCCTGGCATATGCAGGGTGCTGGGTTGGATCCCCAGTGCCACATAAATTCAGGGCATAATGGTACTGGCCTATAATCCCAACACTTTGGAGGTGGAGCAGGAGAATCAGAAGTTGAACGTTAGTCTCAGTTATACAAGGAGTTCCAAGCTAGCCCAGGACACACAAGACACTGTTTTAAGCAGAGTGAATCTCAAACTCTAAGGTGTCTTCTGCAGAGAAGTCACTAGAAAGACCCCGCCCAGTTGCCTGCCCCTGCCCCCTGCCTTCATCAGAATGCTTGTTATGAAACCTTCAGATCATACACAAAAAAAGCCTCAATTAACAAGAACCAGGACCAGCTGAGCCCTGGTACCTTACCCTCAGATTTCCTGATTCAGAGCAGAATACAAGTCTCCACCCAACTGTCATCCTTCTAAAATGATGCCAGGGTAGATGAACCCTGGGTGGTCATGCACTAACTCAATACAAGAGAGTTGGAGATGGGTCCAGCGATGCAACAGGACACAGCAGGAATGAGCTACCCATCCCTGGAAGTTGTCAAGGAAGGGCTGGATGCAGAGGCAGGCAGCCTTCATCAAGGAAATGGTAAGAGTTGGGTGAAATAGATCTTTTTTATTTTTCATTCTCCAGGTTCCAGGAGAAGGGAAAGGTGATTTACATGATGGCAAATGGGAGGGCTAAGTGGACAAGCTTAACTTGCAAATGGACCATGGGAAGGGGGTGATTTAGGGATGAAAGTGTGACAGTGTCAGAAGGGACTTGGGAGAGCTTTTAATCAAGGCTCAGGAATTCTCATTAGGCTCTGGGAGCCAAAGTCACTTGCCCAAGGTCACAACAGCTGAAGTTAGCTGTAGCTTTTTAACAGTTCAGAGGGTCCCCAGGGCACAGCTGGCCAGAAGCCAGTGGTGCAGCAGCCATGGTGATTCGGTCCAGCAGTTAATTAGTAACTGGAGATCCTGAAGCCAACTCCCAGCTGGGCTGGAAGGCCAGGCCAGTGGGTGACGGGTCACTCCTGCCTGGGAAGGCTGCTGGTGAGTCAGGATTGGATAGACAAAGAAAGCACAATTCTCTGGGATCTGCGCTGGGACCCAGGCTTTGGAGGTGAGGGGCTATCCTGTGAGCAGAATACCTGCCTTGCTCTCAGCTCTCTGAAGCAGTGTCTTCTGTATTGCAACTGCCTGCCTAGGCCAGATGCTTCCTTAACCACCATTTTCTATCATTTGCTTGCCCTTCTTCCCCTTCCCTCCCTAACTTCATCCCCCGTCCTCCTTTTCCTCTACCAAGTTTCCTTAGTCCCTAACTCCTTCCCCTTCCTCCTACTTTCCCATGCCTCCTTAATTTCTTCTTCTTGGCCTAATCTCTTCTCTGCCTAATTTCTCCTTTTTTAAAAAAATTTATTTATTATGTATACAACATTCTGCTTCCATGTATATCTGCACACCAGAAGACGGCACCCGATCTCATAGCGGATGGTTGTGAGCCACCATGTGGTTGCTGGGAATTGAACTCAGGACCTCTGGAAGAGCAGTCAGTGCTCTTAAACCTCTGAGCCATCTCTCCAGCCCCTAATTTTTCCTTTCTTAATGAACTAGCTCATATCTTCACTTCATACCCCCCCCCTTTCATTCTTTCCATTTTTAACTGTCTAAATCTCTTCTGGAGATTCTTGGCTGTGGGTCTTGGGAATCAGCTTGCCTGGGTTCAAATCCTACTTATATCATTTATTGACATAGTATCTCACTCAAGTTATTTCTCTTCACCATGCCTCAGTTTCCTCCTCATTTAACAGGAATAACAGGGCTGGAGGCGTTTAGCTTAGAGGTGGAACACTTGGTTGGCAGTCCTGGATTCACTCTTCATCAAAACACACATGCTCTCTCTCTCTCTCTCTCTCTCTCTCACACACACACACACACACACACACACACACACACACACACACACACACACGTACATACATACACGTCTGGATGATGACAATTCCAGGAACAAAAGAAAACCAAGCTAGCCCTTGAGCTAAGACAGTTAAATGACACAGTTCAATGGAGTGAAGCCAGGTACAGTGACAGAAGCAGATACAAGGAGAGGCCATTGGACAAAGTTTTTAGGGGAGGCAAATGATGACCCATGAAAGGGTTAGGCAAGCAGGTCATGTTGGTGGGGGGATGTTCTCAAGAGAGAGAGAGAGAGCTGTGAATTATTCCTGCCCTAGCCCACTGTGCAGGTAGGTCTAGGGAGATTGAAGCAGGCACAACAGTGAAGGGCCAGAGAAAGGCATGTCTAGGCAGCAGCAAGGGATGGGAGGGATGACATTAATGGCCCATGGGTGACATAAGGGCTGGTGAAATTGCTCACTGGATTAAAAACACTTGCCATGCCGGGCGTTGGTGGCACATGCCTTTAATCCCAGCACTCGGGAGGCAGAGGCAGGTGGATCTCTGTGAGTTCAAGACCAGCCTGGTCTACAAGAGTTCCAGGACAGCCTCCAAAGCCACAGAGAAACCCTGTCTCGACATCAAGCCTGATGACCTGAGTATGATCTTGGGTACCCTCATGGTAGGAGAACCGACTCCTTCAAGTTTTCCTCTAATACACACACACACACACACACACACACACACACACACAAAGAGAGAGAGAGAGAGAGATATAGAGAGAGATAGAGAGAGAGAGAGAGAATAAATGTAATAATAAAATAAAATAATCAGGAGATGACAATAGCGACAAGTTGAGCCAGGTTGTATCTATCACAAGATGGTAACACAAGAGAAAGGGAGCTACAGGACTGGAATGGGGTCTTAGTCAAGGTGACAGGAGACTGGGCAGGGAACATGTTGAAGTACTGCAGAGACTTGGTACTTGAGTAATTAAACAGTGACACTGTAGGAAATTTTATATAGAAATTCAAAATGAAAAACAAATAACCTAATAACTAGTGGCCATGGCATTTTTGCATTTTATTGTAGCTATTCATGCAAATGTCCATTGTCTTTTTCCCACTTTAATAAAATTAGTACCCCAGTACACCCACCATCCTGAAACTTGCTTTCTCCTTGATAATTGCGTCAGACGTGTGCCCCCTTTTTGATTTATGTAATCTTACATAGACAGAGGCTTGGTTTATATATTTTTTCATTTTGCATGTATACTATACCTGATCATTCCACTCCTTGACTTCATTAGTCATATGTGTCATGAATACCTCCTCTATTTCAGGCCAGTTCTTGATGTAAAGGATTCAACAGTGAGCAAGAAAAGTCTGCCTTCATGAGCCATGTTCTAGTTTGAGGTGGAAAATTAGAGCGCTTGACTAGTGACGTCAGAGGGCATGAGCGCTGAGTGTACAGTCAGGTACCTAGCCTCCAGAGAGAGGCTGGCTACTGACGAGGGTGCGCCAGCCATCAGGACTGTCTCAGAATTGCACAGGCTCTGCGCTAAAAGCCCTAAGCCCCACATAAACCTACACAATCAGTCAGCACAGGCCTCTCCTGGAGGACCCATCGAAGCAGGGTCCTCTACCATGTTACTGGAAGTCAGCCATGTGTGTTGTCTGAGACTAGTGCTTTCTAGACAGAGGAAGAAAGCACGAGAGGCTAAGCCATTGAACTGGTTTATGGACATGGGAAATAAGTGGAGATAGAGACCCAAGGACTGAGCTGGGGTTGAAGAGAAAGAGGAAGAGAGTCCAGTAAGGAACCCCAGGTCCTCTCAGAGCCAGGTAGGCAAAGGAAGGATGCCAGGAAGGATGCCAGATCCTCAGCTAAGCTGAGGGAGATGTGGACCCAGGAGTCATCCCTGGCCCTGACATAAGAATCCACTGTCCACTGATTCTTCAGGATGCTGGGACGAAATCCAAGGTGGGTTCAGCAGTGGAACAGAAAAGGAGTGGAGGTGAGGAGTGCCGACAGCTCCTTAGAGAAGTTTAATGAGAAAAAGAAAGAGAAAAATGGGCTGTCTAGGCAGGGTACGAGGTGAGGAACTGAGCCAGCATGGTTGTGGTGTTCCTACGTACCAGGCAGGGGCACTTAGCCTATTGTTAGCTTCTTCATCTTGTTTTTCTAAAGTCCTGCAGTCCTGCAAAGACCCCATGGGGTTTTTGTTATTGAAAAGAAATGTCCTTGGTAAGGATGTGTGTTTTGTCAACATGTCTCCCTGCAGACTTGTGTATTGGTTCAACATTTCTATTTTGTGGGGGAATGAAACTTTGATACTATTTAGTGCAGTGTTCTCGGGTCAACACCTCCAGGTCCCTTTAGAGTCTATGAGGATGCCTGACCCACAGCGCTCTGTGCTTAGGGCCATTGATTGGATAGCCACACAGAAAGCCCCAAGAAGAAAGCAGCTGTGTTGCTCCCATTAACTCCTTCCTTCCTCATAACACCTGCCGACCCCTCCTGATCCCCTGATAGACGAAAGGACCCCCATGAGAACCCTACAGGCACACCTTACAGCAAGGCCTTAACGGCCAGGAACTCCTAAGATGTGAGTTCTCACACAGCGGAAGAGCTGTGAGCCAGCCAGGCCTGCTTTAGGGACCATGAGCCAGAGCTCCTGAAGAGCCACAGGGAAAACCTAGGTAGCCAAGTCCAAGGTCAGCTGGACAGAGAGCCAGCTCCAGCTTCTCTGGAGCATCTACAGGGTTTTAGCAGGTGGGTTCTTCCCGGGCTGTAGCTCGGTTCCTCTCCTCTAGACCAGGTGGTCTATATTGTGCCTGTTTAGAACCCTAGGTTCTGGCAGCTGGGCTCTCAATATATGTATGCACACGTACACACACGAACACACACACACACACACACACACACACACACACACACACACTATGCCAATATGGACACAGACACACAGTGATGGACCTATACATATGATTACATAGTCATATGCACATATTACTAGACACAGTCTCATCTGAAGCCAGACATATAGACACTCACATGCAGGCTTATATGCTAACATATACTATACAGTGACACATTGAATGTCTGGGGACATTCCATCCACTACACACACAGAAAAACAATGATAAGTTCAGCACAGATACACACTCACATGTACATAATGTCATACCAACACATGTACACTTCCTTTTTCTTCCTTCTTTTTTTTTTTTTTTTTTTTTGCTTTTTCAAAACAGGGTTTCTCTGTGTAGCCTTGGCTGTCCTGGAACTTGCTCTGTACACCAGGCTGGTCTCAAACTCACAGAGATCTGCCTGCCTCTGCCTCCCGGATGCTGGGATTAAAGGTGTGCATCACCACTGCCTGACACACACACACACACACACACACACACACACACACACACACACTGACACAAATATCTGAAATCTGCAGCCATACTGGCACACCAGAGACATGCACATCTCTGCACAAAACACTTGCAGAGAGCACATACTCTGACCCACACTGTCACACACATTCTCTTGCAGTCTCCAGTGATCCCCAGGATCTTCTGAGACTGCTACATATACCCTCATCTTCTAGGGAGCAATGGTGTCCTGGAGGGAACAGAGGTCTCCCATCCCATCCTAAGCACTGCTGGATCCTGTGTGACATCACCAGCCCCCTCAGTACTGCCACTGCTGGAAGTTCTGAGCTCTGTGCTGAGGGCACCAGGCACTAACACTTGGCTCTTGTTGGGAGAACAGAGAGAGTCTCTCTTGTCTGCCTGCGGCCTGTGCTCAGCTCCGACTGCTGCATCTCCCGGAGGCCTCTGCCCAGGCTGCATAGGTATGTGGGACAGGGCCAGGCTGGGCCAGGCACAGGACCCCCGGGGACAACCTAGGGAGGGATGGTAGTGTTTCAGGCTGGCTGTGGGAGCATCAGAGAGGCCAGGATGCACTTGCCTCTGCTAGAATTCTACGGCCTGCTGTGCAGGAGTTTGGCAATGGGAGGCCTCTAGATCAGCCTTGCTGGGGAACTCCCTTCTGTCGCAATTACTTTCTCAGTTGGGTAACCTCCAACCTGGTAGAAGTTCCTGGCCATGGGTGAATGGGTTTAAGGGTCCCACCCAGTCCAGAGCGGTGCCTCTAAGACCTTTCCTAAAAATAAGGTGATCTAAGAGATGCCAAGAACAACAACAACCAAAACTGGGATCTTTGAATAATTTGCATCATTCCCTGTGGGATGTACAGAGCCTGTGAGGTTCCCAGCCCCTGAACCAAAACAAACCCTAGACAGTTGGCTTCTCCTTCTGTGCCACTGACTGCATAGACCAACTACTGATTCCTTCTATCTACCACTTAAACTCACACTCTGGCTACCTGTGAGATTCCATGGTTCTGGCCCAATCACCCCAGTGTGGTTGCTGTTACTGGACCCTGGGGAAAGTACCCAAGAGAGATTGTATTCAACACAGAGCTTATATCCTGGGACTTTTCGCAAGAATTCAGGGTTGCCAACATGCCTATGTGTGAGTCTGGAAAGTCTAGGCTACCCACAAACAGTCAGAGCTAAGAAAATCCTGTTCCAAATCATGTGTAGTAGCACACTTCAGTATTGTCTCCATTTGGGAGGCTAAGGCAGTTCAAGGCCAACCTAAGATATGTGGCAAGCTCAAGGCCAGCATGGGCTACAGAGCAAGGCCCTGTCAAAAAAAAAAAAAAGAAAAGAAAAGAAGGAAGGAAGGAAGGAAGAAAGAAAGGTAGGAAGGAAGGAAAGGCGGGAGGGAGGAAGGGAGGAAGGAAGAAAGAAAAAGAAACAAAATTACATAAAGCATTTTTAAGGTCTCAGTGCCTCACTGAGAAGTAAAAGGAAATATTCATCTTTAGGCCTACAAGGGTCCTGCCTGCTCCAGCCACCTTGGAGTTTTGGGGCATCTGTCAATCATAGGAGTCTTCCTGTCCTAGGTGTCCCCAACCTTTGCAAAGACCCTGCCAGGCAGGGACCACCCTAGCTGTCCCTCTCCATCCTTCCTGTACTGTTTGGTGAGAAAGGCTGGGTCTGACAAGTGACATTTGTCTCATCCATGCATGGACCTCTGGTCTTTAGGGTGGGAGCTGCTAAGGCTGTATCAGAAGTTGAAGGTGGGCAAGAGGGCAGTCCTGCCTGGAGGCCAAGGTCTTCCCTGTACCCCAGAGCCTACCTCATCACAGCTACAGAATGGCCTCCAGCCCAGTTGGAGTTCCTAGCCCACAGGTGAGCAGTTCTTAGTCTTTCTCCCAATGCCCAGCACCCTGCACCAGGGACTCACTTTCTCCCAAGGCTGAGGAGATCTGTAGAAATACTGGCCAGCCCTGTAGACTCTCGGGGCTGCCACTTTACTGTGGACTCACAGAGATGGGCATTTGCAAGGAAAATTGAAGAGAGATTTGGCAGGGAGCTATAAGAAGTAGATTTGGTTAGAAAAAAAATGTGACATTGGTTTCGAAAATACATAGATTCAAATCCCACCTTGGCCACCTGTAAGACCTTGGACAACTCCTCTCTAGCTTCGGTTTTCTTTCCTTATAATTGCCATGATGGCCAGCAGCCTCTCCAGCTCATTAGGAGAAGCAGGTGTGATTTGAATGAAGAGATGGAGGAGGGGGTGGATACGAGGGAGGAAAACCCGTTAAAGAAGGGAGGGAGAGAAGGAGGTAAGCTAGTTAGTAGTGATGTTGGCAGAACCAGGGCCTAGGCCAAAGAAGAGGAGGATGTTTGCAGGTCTTGATTGCCTCTTTCTTTAAATGTCTTCAGCCTTCTAGGGCCAATGGAAACATCAACCTGGGGCCATCAGCTAACCCAAAGTGAGTTCTGTTTTCTAAGACAAAATTCCTACCTGGCTGTCCCATGGCTGTTTCTCTTGACTTTAGAAATGAAATCCAAGGTCCTTGGTGTGCTCAAAACCTGTGCCAGCTGGACCAGAATCCCTCTAACTCTGTGCCTGTGCAGCCTCATTTCTCATTAACTTCCCAACCTTGGCCCAGGCTAAGCCCTCTGCCTGGAATGACCCCAGACATCTTCACTGTCAGCAACTCTCCACCCGAAGGCCCTTTTCCTGGCTGGGGATGGGGGTGGATGGAGAAGACTGGCCTCTGCACCATGTACCTGATTGTCTCTCCTAGTTTTAACTGGTCTGTGAGCTGGGGTGGGTGTAGGGAGAGGTGTGTGAGACTGTCTTCTACGCTTCTTGGGGCTGTAAGAGACAATGTTCTTCAGGGGTGAGGCCCTGAGGCTTCTGCAAGGCCATCTGCATTTTTCCAGCTCTGGAATTAACCAGAGATCCAGCCCCCCGAGCTTTCAAACGTTGATCCTTGCACTTCTCCTGTCCACAGTGCCCGACCCACAGACTTCGAGTTCCTCAAAGTCATTGGTAAAGGGAACTATGGGAAGGTAAGTAAAGAGAGGAGAGTGGAGGTTGGGGTCTCTCCCTTCTGTAGCCTTCTGCCTGCTGCCTTCATTAGCATATGCAAAAAGAAGGCTCACATACTGGCATTCCACAGAATTGGGCTTGGGGGCTGCCAGGAGAACTTTGTCATCCCTGATGTCTTGGGTCTGTACTTTCCTTCAGGTCCTACTGGCCAGGCGCAAGTCCGATGGAGCCTTCTATGCAGTGAAGGTGCTTCAGAAGAAGTCCATCATAAAGAGCAAAGAGGTACCAGACTCAGGAATGGTTACTTCCCCTCTTGCTTCTTGCTTCCCAGCCTAGGGTGGCTTCCCAAGATGGTTTCATCTCCAAGAGGTCCAAGAGGAGTAGCTCAGAAAGTCCAGCTCACACACAGGACCCTAACCCTTCTAGAGGAAAGCAGGCCAAGACATCTCCCTAGGAGGATGAGAAGGTCTCTGCCTTCTAAGAGCCTTTAACAGAATCCACTGATGGACCAGCTCTCTGCCCTCTCTAGGTGTCAGAGAGGGCACACACTTTGGGTTCACACCACACCCTTTTCATAGGCCCTGTCCACCTGGCCAGCTTGGATCTCTAGATGCCCCGGTGACTTGAATTCCTTCAACACGATTATGAGGACAGAGAGAAGATAGAATGTCAGGTCAAACTCCTCAGGAAACAGTGATTCATGCCCACAAGGAGGGGAGGTCTTCCTGCCTAGGTGGTCTTGAACTGACTCTGACAGTAAACAGCATTTTGATAGTTTGAAAAGAAGGTGACATGTCCTGGGGCTAGGGAGATGACTAAAACAGCATAGTGCTCCCTGTGCAAGCATGAGGACCTAAGTTTGATCCAGCAGAACCCACAAAAATAAAATGCTAAGCATGGCAGCATGTATCTCTAATCTTGGTGCTATGGAGATGGAGAGAAAGTATCCCCCAGGCTTTCTAGCTGGTTAGACTAGCCCAGTCAGTAAGCTATAGGTCCAATGAGAGATCCTGTGTCAAAGAACAAGGTGGAGAGTAATGGAGAGAGACATCCATCAAGTTCTTATGTGTACACACACACACACACACACACACAAGATTGGGGGGACATGTACAGGTGGACAAAATAGCAGGATCAAAGGCATGAGGATAGATACTGCATGACATTTTTTCCTAGAGAGTTTCCCTGGGACTCAACCATCCTACCATAGTATATGCTTTGCTTGTCACCCCGGGGTAGGGGTTTCTGAAGTTACACTCGTATGAAGTGGCTGGGGGTGAGGCTCGGGACACTGACTTCTAAGTACTAAACAAGGAGGCTAGGCCTGGCTGGGGACAATAGAGAGCCAATGAGGGTATCTGAACTGGGGTAGGAAAAAGTCTTGGGCAGGACACCTCCATAAGCAAGGTCACCTGGATTGTGCTGGAATGAAAGGGGCTGTGCTGGACAGTGAGTGACATGGACTCCTGTCTTTGTGACTCCTTAGCAGAACCACATCATGGCAGAACGCAATGTCCTACTGAAGAATGTGCAGCACCCCTTCCTCGTGGGCCTGCGCTACTCCTTCCAGACCCCAGAGAAGCTCTACTTTGTGCTTGACTATGTCAACGGAGGAGAGGTGAGTGGACCTCAGGAAGGGAGCTGCCCACTGTGTTCCCCACTTAGAATGAGCTCACTGAATCCCTACAACAGAACTGCTTGGTAGTCCAAGAAACTGAGAGGCTCAGCTGAGAGCCTCAGCTCAGCAAGTCACTTCTCAAGACAAGCCAGGCTATGCAGGCCCTTTTCTTTCCTGCTGTTGCCTGGGTGTTTCCCTCACAAGGTGGCTCCTACTCACGTGCATAGACCCCAGGAAAGGTCTCTGCCAATAGAAGTGTGTGCTGACTGTTTCCAATACTTCCCTTCCCCACACCTAGGCATAGGCCCACAGCCATGAGTATCATTTTTTATAACTTATTTCCATGTATGTGTACTGTACATGCCTATTTTTATGGGTGGGGCAAACATGTAGGTACATTTGCACATGGAGGCCAGAGGTTGATGTCAAGAGTCATCTTCAGTTTCCTCCTACCTTTTTCATCAAATCAGGGTCTCTCAACCAAGCCCAGAGCAGGACAGTTTAGCTAGTCTTGCTAGCCAGGACAGTTTAGCTAGTCTTGCTAGCCAGGACAGGGTAACTAGTCTTGCTAACCAGGACAGGGTAGATAGTCTTGCTAGCCAGGACAGGGTAGCTAGTCTTGCTAGCCAGCTTGCTCTGATGATCCCGTCCAGACCTTCCAAGGCTGGGATGACAGGTAGGCAGCCATGCCCACCTGGCATTTATACTGGGTCTCTGGGGACCTGGACTTGGGCCTTCACCCTTGCATGGCAAGCAGTCTAACCCCACTAAGCTATCTCTCTAGCCTGATGTCTTAGGATAGGATATCTCCTATCCTAAGGCGAGACCTGAGCTACCTGCTAAGCCTAGAGCAGGGCAAGGACAAGCTGGACACCATCTTGGATTTTTTTTTTTTTTTGGTCTCACTGAACAAGGGGGCAAAATTTAGTGGAGGCTCTTCTCAATTGTACCAGGTTTGGCCTATATGTAACCAAATGTTTTTCAGCCTGAGTCCAATGGGGGAGGTTTCAGCCTTCACATTCCTAAATGTTGCAACCAACAAAGCAGACCAAACAGAGAGATCTAAGCTGGGCTCAGTGTGACATCCTAAGGCTTGGGTTGGAGGAAATGCACATTTTTGTTAGGCATGATGCCTCCCACCTATAATCCCAACACTTGTGATACAGAGGTAGGAGAATTGAGTTCAAGGCCAATCTGGGTTACATAGAAAGAGTCTACCCTCTCCCACTCCAACCCCCCCCCCACACACAAAGTATGTCTTGAACTACCTGGTTTCAAATTCCAGCTCAGCCAACTCTAAGATGTGGGACCTTAGACAAATCATTTAACTCCTCCTTTGACATGAAACTGACATCACAGCTGAGATCTTGAAGATGGTCATGAGATTTAAACAAGAATTGTCAAAGAGCCTGACTTGCAGCCAGGAACACAGCAGCTGCTTAATTATGCTATCTGAAGGTGTGGAGAGTACAAGTGTGCTGAGGGGTGGGGTCAGCATGCAGTCTTTTTAGACTAGGGTAACTAGCCTGCATGGAGTAGGGGGCCTTGAAGGACCCCATCTTGTGATCTAGGAGCTGGGATCCAGCCGCCATCTCACTGTCCCCTCTCCTAGCTCTTCTTCCACCTGCAGCGGGAACGTAGGTTCCTGGAGCCCCGGGCCCGGTTCTACACTGCAGAGGTGGCCAGTGCCATTGGCTACTTACACTCTCTCAACATCATTTACAGGTGAGGCCTGCTCTTGGCTCATGGCCAGTCCCAGGACCTTTCTGTTCCATCAGGCAGCGACTGGGCCATGAAGTTCCAGTGAACTTGGTCCTTTGACTGAGGAGGTCCCTTATTTAGGGGTGGGGTGTCCTCCTTTCTAGAGTCAAGTACCCAGGCTCCCTGGGTTTTCCTCCTTCACCTACGGGGGCTTCCACGAGTAGTTCTCCTGTTAGGACCCAAGTCCCCAATTCACTCAGTAAATGACTGTTTTCTCTTATTTTCTGCAGAGACTTGAAGCCAGAAAACATTCTCTTGGACTGCCAGGTGTGTGGTGTGTGGTGTGTGTGTGGTGTGTGGTGTGTGGTGTGTGGTGTGTGTGTGGTGTGTAGTGTGTGTGTGTGTGTGTGTGTGTGTGTGTGTGTGTGTGTGTACATGCAGCTCAACTCTATGCTCTCCATTCATGGTCTGTATACATGGGTATTTATGAATTATAATGTATGCATGTGGTAACATACATTCTTGGGTATATGTGTACATATGGGCTCATGCACATATCTATCTATATAAATCTGTGCACAGGAGACTATGTGTGTGTGTGTATGTATGTATGTATGTATGTATGTAGACCTGTGGGGAAGGGTATGGAGTGTGGCCAGGTGGAAGCTAGGGATCTGTAGACCTTCCATGTTGTTCCCTTATTCCCTGGAGACAGACCTTGAGATGGAGGATGGAATGTAGATTTCTTGGGGAACACTTTCCAAAGATACAGCCTTAAGGAGAATGAAGAAGACAGGGTGGGGCACAGGGAGAGGTGCAGCTGCACTGTGGTTGCAAGAGAGGCCTCAGTGCACCTCACAGATGGGAGCCCTAAGCAGGCATGGCTCTTCGGGATGAGTTGACACAAGGAGATTTGGACCTTCCTGGCCTCCACCATTCAGTTCAGGAGCAGCATAACTTTTGACAGGGTACAGTCCCAGCTGTGAGGATTAGGCACAGCAGCTCCTAAAGTCTGATAGCCGTCTGTACCTGTCTACCTTCTCCATCCTCAAGCCCAGATGGCATCGGTGGACTTGATTTCTCAGTCTTCAGCCCTTCATCAAGGGGATTACTACCCAGCAAGAACATCCTGGAGTTGCCACTATTGTAGGCATGGGCCCGAGTCCTGATGAGCTAGGGAAGACAGCAGAGTGGCATGTCCCCAGCCTGTGCCCTGAGATCTCCTGGCATCCAGGCTAGGAGCCCTGAGTCTGTATGCAGCTTGCATCTCCTCACCATATTGCACAGCCATTGCTCTAGGGTGTGGCATTTGAGCTTTGACCACAACCCCTTCCTTTGTCTCTCACCCACAGGGACACGTGGTACTGACAGATTTTGGCCTTTGCAAGGAATGTGTAGAGCCCGAGGAGACCACATCCACCTTCTGCGGCACCCCCGAGGTATGTGGAAGATCTATGGAGAAGGCTGACCATTAGTGGCTGAGGCCAGCCCTAAATAAAGCCACCAGGCTACAGCAGAGAGGCTTCACTCCATCATCTCAAGCTCTTCTCCAAGTCAGCCCTATACTGAGACTTCATTTCCTCACGAGTGTCAAGGGACCAGCTTTGGAAGGGTTGGCACCCAGCTACCTCTAGTGAATTCCACCACTGCCCAATGGGAATAAGCAAGCTATAGCTGAATGTAGGGTTGCATGCCTGTAATCCCAGCACTTGTGGGGTGGAGACAGGAAGATCAGGAGTTTGAAGCCAGCCTCAATTATATTAGATCCCAGGTCAGATGGGACTTCATGAGACCAAAAACAAATAGATGCAAACCTTATTTATTGGGATGTTGGAGGTTGAACTCAGAACCCCAGGCATGCTAGGCAACTACATTCAAAAAGTAAAAAAAAAGGGGGGGGGCGGCTGGAGAGATGGCTCAGTTGCTTAAGAGCACTGGTTACTCTTCCAGAGAGCCCGGGTTTGGTTCCCAACATACACATGTCAGCTCACAACTATCTACAACTCTAGTTCCAAAGGATTTAATGTCTTCTTCTAGCCTCCGTGGATATTGTATGCAAGTGGTACAAGCAAAACACCGATGCCCACAAAATTGAAACAAATCATGTATGTAAATGTGTGTGTGTGTGTGTGTGTGTGTGTGTGTGTGTGTGTATGTACACATAAAGACAGGGATGGAGAGCTGTCTCAGCAGTTAAGAGCATTTGTTTTCTTGCAGAAGATGAGGAATCAGGTCTTGGCACCCACATGGCAGCTCACACCAATCCTCCAAAGTAACTCCAGTTCCAGAGGATCTGGTACCCTCTTCTGGTCTCTGTGGGCACTGCACACATGTGCCACACAGACATACATGTAGGCAAAACATGCATACACATAAAATAAAATTAAATAAATCTTGAAGAAAAGTAAAAAAGACAGGTGATACCAGGCATAATGATAAGTGCCTTAACCCCAGCATTTAGAATTACAGAGATCTCTGTGAGTTTGAGAATAGCCTGGCATAGATAACAAGTTCCAGGTCAGCCAAGGCTATATAGTTAGAACCTGTCTTGGGATGTGTATGTGGGGGGTGGGTGGGAAGAAAATGGGTAAAACTAATTTTAACAATTATTTAACTCAATTTATCTCAAATCTTCTCATTTAAATACATAATCAGTAAAAAGTTGTGAAATAGGGCTGTCAAGACTGCTTAGTGGGTAAGGGCCTTGCTGCCAAGGCTAAGGGCCTGAGTTCAATGCCTAGAACCCACATGGAAGAAGGGTAAAACTGAGTTTTCCAAACTGGTCCTCTGATCTCCATATGTATGCTGTAGCATGTGCACACAGGCACACAGGCACACAGGCACACAGGCACACAGGCACACAGGCACACAGGCACACAGGCACACAGGCACACAGGCACACAGGCACACAGGCACACAGGCACACAGGCACACAGGCACACAGGCACACAGGCACACAGGCACACAGGCACACAGGCACACAGGCACACAGGCACACAGGCACACACACACACACACACACACACACTAAATGTAAAAAATGTTGAAACAATGAATTATTTCTTAGTCTTACAATCTAGCATGTGAATATAGTTTACATTTATAGTCCACATTTCAACAGATCCAAACCTTTTTATCTTTTCTTTTTTGTTTTTTTCTTAATATTAATCATAGAGTTTATTACAGGGGAGAGGGGGAGAGCAAGAGGAAGAGAGAGAGATGAAGGGAGACAGACAGATGAAGGGAGAGTAGGAGAGGAAGGGGAGGGAGCCGAGAGAAGGGAGAGAGAGGGAGAGAGAGAGAGAGAGAGAGAGAGAGAGAGAGAATGTGGAGGTGCTCGCTTAAAGGGGGAAGCTTGCACATGTGTACTGAGTCCTTATGCAGCCCATAATGAGTGCATGACGTGGCCACTCAACGTCAAAGGGCCCTTTGAGCTGCCTAAGTATCTGCCTGAATACTGTATGCATGCCCCTCTTTTGGTTTTTTGAGATGGGGTGTTGCCCTAGATGTCCTGGAACTCCATTTGTAGACTAGGCTGGCCTCAAACTCAGGGATCTGCCTGCCTCTGCCTCCCGAATCCTTAGATTAAAGGCGTACACTACCACTCCCAGCTAGACCCAAATCTTGATCCTTTGCACAAGCAATTGTTCGGTAGCCACATGTGGCTAGTGGCTGCTGTGTGGGATGGCACTGCTCCATAGGGCCAAGTCCTTGACCAGGAGAGCGTGGCCTGAGAGTTAAGGTCAGGGCTTGCATAAACATAAACATGACCCTCTTTCAGATGGAGAGTCTAGAAGGTTAAAATTTGTAGATTTCTTTAATCCCCATGAATATCTTCATTGAGAGGATAAGGCATGAGGGTTGTAAGAAAGTCCTTCAAAATAATAATAATTAGGACAGGTAATATAGCTTAGTGGTAGAGTGATTGCCAGGCATGCCTGAGGCCCTGAGTTCAACCCCAGCACCCCTATGAACAAACAAACAAACAAACAACACATGTCTGAGCAGGAACTAATCTGTCTGTCTGACCTGCCTTGGGTTTAAAATCTTTCCTTGAAGTCCCACCAGTCTTAGGTGTTGGACCTTGAACTTGAAGGACCCCTGAGGGTTGGACAGACACCAGAAGGGGCAGAGGGCGAGGACTGCAAAGCGCCTCCCTGTCAAGTCTGAAACAGGACTTGAGAGCCACCCTGTTAGTCTCCATCAACCTGCAGAGCTGTGCCTGAACCTACAGATGGATTCCAACAGGTTCCACCAGGTCAGACAACCTCTCCCAGAAGGGACCCTTGTCTGTGCTTGTGCATGGCATGTCATGAATAAAGCTGACCCCGAAGTCTGACAACAGCCTGTCCTTCAGTGGGTATAACTAGCTTAGAGAGCAGGGATTATGGAATTGTGTCTCATGTAGGAGACGTCCCTTCTTCCAGGACTGCCACTGCTGAGTGCCAGACATACAGACAAGAGTACCTACACTTGTTCCCATGTTCCCATTAGGGAATCCGTGTCCCTAGTATTTGTTTGTTTGTTTTGTGTGTGTGTGTGTGTGTGTGTGTGTGTGTGTGTGTGTGTGTGTGTGTGGTATTTACGCATGTTCATGTAGATGTGGACAGGCATGTGCACATGCTTGCAAATGGAGGCCAGAGGTTAATGTCAGTATCTTTTTTAAGCACTCTCCATGTTATATTTTGACACAGTGTCTCCAACTAAACCTGGAGTTCATCAATTTGGCTAGGCTGGCTGGCCACTGATCCAGGGATCTGCTTATCTCCCCATCACTGGGGCTACTTATGTGAGCCATCTCACCTAGCTTTTATGTGACTGCTGGGATCTGGAAAAAGGTCCTCATGCTTATGCAGCAAGTATTTACAAACAGAACCATCTCTCCAGCTACCACTCCAACTATGTTCCCACTTTAAGGGTAAGAAAGCCAAAGTTCTGGCAGGTCAAGTGCTCTGCCTGGACACACACACTGAAGAGGAATCGAGGCTGTATGATTCTCTTCCCTTCCACAGACCCACAGGGTAGCTGTGTCTGTTGCTGGGACTCTGTTCCTTAGCAGCAGACAACCCCAGGCCAGGAGGTCATTAAACCCTTGGGACCTGCAGAAACACAGCACTGCCTATGTTTTTTTTCCTTGTACCAGGCACGGCTCCTGGCATGTTCCCATCTGTCAATGTGACCTGGAATACCACCCCTTTCCTGACCTTCCCCCATGCATTAAGGTTTCCATAACAAGTGTGTGACACATTCCTTTGGTTTTGCGCTATTGTCACCCTGCTACACTGTGAGGTGTCTCCAGGGCTTCTCCAGTGCTAGGACACAGATAGCTTACAGGCTATATGTACAAATAAGAAGGCATGCCTGCTTCTGAATTACCATTCTGGCTTTGTGAATAGATCACAGATAGATTGTAGCTCCCTTTACCCCTATGGCTGGTACTCCTGTGTAATGTACAGTGTGTAAACTATACAGGGTAGTCTTGCCTGATCTCCTGGATGTCCCCAGTGCAAAGGGCCTGTCACTAACCAAGTCTCTGGTGTATGGATACAAATGAACACAGGATAAGCTATGACAGCGGGATCAACACCCTTCAAGTGCCTTCTTTACAGATAAACAGAAGCTAGGCGTCTTCACCCCTGTGCTTCCCCCAACAGTACCTGGCCCCCGAAGTGCTTCGTAAAGAGCCTTACGATCGAGCGGTGGACTGGTGGTGCTTAGGGGCGGTCCTCTACGAGATGCTGCATGGCCTGGTGAGTGGACAGAGATGTCTGTGGGGTACATGTGGCTTGGGGAAGCTGAGGATGGTCCCCAATTCATGCAGCTTACTCTAGCTTTGCACAGGGAATTAAATGAGCTATCTATGTACCCCGGGAGGAAAAATGAGGCCAAAGTGAATTTGAGGAATGTATATCTCTTTGAAATAGTGTTAGTTTCACAGTTTTCATTTATAACAACAGCCGCTTCACAGAGTGGAGAGTTACTTTTATTGAACTAAGGTGGAAACTGAGACCGAAAGGTCACAGTGTGGTAGATTGCAGGCTAGTCTGGGCTGTATACTTATGTGAAAGCCTGTGTGGACCTGCCTGAGGCTGGCTTTCCTCTGGCCTGGATTCTCCAGCAGGGCATGCTGTAGAAGGAGTAAGTTCTGAAGGTTCAGAAGAACCAGTGGGTAGAGGAACTGGAAGAAAGGCAAGGAGGCCTAGACTGTGGGCATAGTTTCTAGTCCAGCTCTTAGCTGTGCAATTTAGTGGTCCCCGGCCTTGCTTCTCTTGTCTGCCGGTCTGTAGCCTCTGGCAGAAGATGGCTGTGGGGCCAGGAAGAAGTGATGAGGGTGAGAGGTCCCAGGATCTCCAGGAGCCTCCCATGGATGCCCAAAGTCTATGACTCTCTCGGCAATCCTCTCTCCTGTGCTAGAAGCCTGGAGGTCCTTTCTCTCCTCATCTGCCCCACCAGCTGTGGCACTGGACGCAGGCCTGTCTATATACTCCTGGCTGTCCAGCTTGCTCTAACACTCCCTGATAAGTCTCATGGCTGAACCCCCAGTTTCTCTCCCTGTCTCCACAGCCCCCCTTCTTCAACACAGATGTGGCCCAGATGTACGAGAACATTTTGCACCAGCCACTACAGATCCCTGGAGGCCGGACAGTGGCTGCCTGTGACCTCCTGCAAGGCCTTCTCCACAAGGACCAGAGGCAGAGGCTGGGTTCCAAGGCAGACTTTGTAGGTGACCAAACCAAAGAGCACAGGTCCCCTCCTGCAGGGACAGCTCAGAAGCACCTGCAGTGAGACTGCCTTCTTCTGCCCTCTGAAGCCAGGAGCTGTCTGTCTTTCTGTCTCTGTGTGTCTCTCTTCTGTTTGTGTGTGATATATGTGTATTTGTGTATGTGTGGAGGTCAGAGGTTGATGTCAAATGTCTTCTCCAATTGTCCACTTTATATCTCGGGACAAGGTCTCTCATGGAACCTGGAGCTAACTGATTGGCTAGACTGTCTTTGCCTCCTTGGTTCTGAGATTATAGAATATGCCATCATTCTCAGCTTTTACATAGGTACTAGCAATCCAGGCTTGGGTCTTCATGCTTATCTACCAAGCACTTTACCAACTGAGCCACCTCTCCAGTCCCTGACTATTTTTTTTTTAAAAAAAAATACAGTGTTTTTAGCCAACCAATGTTTGCTGAATCAGCACTGATCCAGGTTTAATAGCCTGGACCTCTGATATGATTAAGCTTGATGGTGGAAGGAGACTGACAAAAAACAGAGATTCTGTACAATTATCACCAAGTGTGACAAATTTCAGGAAGGGAATGAGCAGTGAGCAGAGATAGACAATAAGGCTGTATAGGAATGGTGCTGTTTCACACTGGTATGGCCAGGCAGGTCCCCTCTAAAGAGGTGACAAACTGAACTTGGAATATGAGGAACCATGTGTAGAATTGGATGGAGGCTTCCCAGCCATAGGCACATGTGCAAAAGTCCTGTGGTCTGTACAAGGAGCAGAACAGCAAGACACATAAGACATGGGGATAAATAATTCATGGAATTCATAGTCTGTTCCTTTCATTCCTTTTCTGACACATACATGGGTTTTTTAAAAAGATTAAAGATCACTTTAAAAATAATCTTAAACCAAGATGGTGGTGCACACCTTTAATCCCAGCACTTGGGAAGCAGAGGCAGGCGTACCTCTGTAAGACCAGCCTAGACTACAAATCGAGTTCCAGGACAGCTAGGACCATACAGAGAAACCCTGTCTTGAAAAACAAAACAAAACAAAAAATCTTATTACTTAGTGTAAGATCATTTCAGGGCCAGCAAGATGGATTGGGTATAAGATGCCTGCTATCAAACCTGACATCCTGAGTTCAATCCCCAGGATCCACGTGGTGGAAGGAGAGAACTGACTCCCAAAAGTTGTTCTCTGACCTTCACATGTGGCAGAGGCAGGCAGATCTCTGTGAGTTTTAGACAAGCCTGGTCTAAAAAGTGAGTTCCAGGCCAGCCAGGCCACATAGTAAGACCCTGTCTCAAATGAGGAGGAGACGACTATAGTCCAGATGGCCTTAGCATCTGAAGGATAGACTCTAGGACTGCCCACTCCTACTCTGTGGGTAGCACAGCTTTTTGACCCATGTCTGGCATATAACAAGAGTTTGCAAGCATTACATACACTAAAAGATCTCCATGCCAGGTTCTGTGATTTGAGACAACACTTAGGCTATTTGCCTTCCATGTCCCCAGCCTGCTTTTAGACGTAGGCTCCTGTGAAGACAGACCCCTTCCTTCCAAGGAGGATTTTGCATCTTAGAACATTCCTGTGATTCTTGGAATGAGTTATGCGTTCACAGAAATCAAGCCTCTGAGAGACAGTAGTGATGCAAAGTGTTGGAGTACCGTTCGGTGTGAAACAGACAGGGAGGACTGCTGGAAGGAGAGGCGTTTTAGAAATGAGGTGGGAACCCATGCCCAAGACTCCCTCGAGGCCCCGGAAACCCACCATTTTTCTTAGGGCTTTATTTCTCCTGTCTTCTTTGGTGAGCAGGTTCTTCTATTACTCTGGCTTGCACTCTGGAAGAATCAAGGTGTATTAATGTGTGTGGGAGTGGGTGGCTGTCTCCAAGTTCCCCCTGTATACCTTCTCCCCTGATAACCAGTTCTTTAGCCTTGCTTATAGCCATGCTGCCAGAGCCTAGTATGGTGTGGGTGCTGAGACCTAGCTGTGGAAGGCACCTGTGGCTGTAGGGGAAAAAAATTGGGTTCAGATGATTCAGAAAGTAAGAATGTTCCCTGGGCTGGGCAACCCAGGGAAAGTTCTGTCACCTTGGTAGCCAGTTGTGGGCACCAGTTGGGGAGCAGCTGTGACGAGCTAATCAGTGTCTTCTTCCTGCAGCTCGACATAAAGGACCATGTGTTCTTTAGTCCCATAAACTGGGATGACCTGTACCACAAGAGGCTAACTCCACCCTTCAACCCAAATGTGGTAAGTGAGCATGGCAGCAGCGAGGGGAGGGGGGAGGGGGTCTCCAGATTTTGGCTTCTGGATTTCCAGGGCTGGTAGGATCTAGGACAACACCCTTTATACAGCTGGGGAAGCTGAGGGGCCAAGAGTCTTATCCAAAACACAAGAGTGAGAACTGGCTCTAGCTGCGCTGGACTCTCATGGTTAGCTCAGCCTAAGAAAGATGAGCTGTGGGCTGCTCCTTTATCACCAGCACCGCACCCTACCACAGAGCCGATACAGTGTTTATGTTTGAGGCGTAGTAGCCCAGGCTAGCCCTTAACTCACAATCCTCCTACACAGCCTTTTCCTGATGATAAAAATGATGTGTATTTCTTGTCCAAAGTTATAAAATGATGTTGGAAGAAGCAATAGGGAAATGGCAGGATGTCTCACCAGGGAAACCGCTGCTGGTAGATTTCCTTCCACACGAGTATACTGCCAGCATTCCTCATTGCCTATTTACATTGTTTTTCCTTTGGGGAGTTCCTGCCCATGTATGTGACACTAGATATGTTTTGTTTTGTTTTGTTTTGTTTTTTTTGTGAAACTGTGTAGTCCAGGCTATCCTAGATCTCTGGCTAGCCTCAAACCATGGTGATCCATACCTGTCTTCTGAGTACTGGGTTTGCAAGAGTGAGCGACCAAGGTCAGCTAGCACTAGTTTTGTGCAAGCAAGCGTGTGTGTGTGTGTGTGTGTGTGTGTGTGTGTGTGTGTGTGTGTGTGTGTGTGTGTGCGCCTTGCCCTTCTCCTCCATTCCCTCTGCCTTGCTAAAAACTGTTAGATTACATTCCTAATCCTAGCCACCAAGGTCTATTCCCTTATTTGGTCACTTCCTCCTCCTGAGGCTGACTACCGAGGCCCAGCAATCAAAAGTCCCCTTTGATTCACTTAATTAACTTGCCCAATTAAAACGAACCACCTCATCCTAACATGGGGTTTCCCCCTTTACCTTTATGAACCACCATCTGCCTGTGGGTCCTGTCTATCCAGATACAGTTCTTTGTCCTGCCTGGGACAAATATCTCTTACCCATCTCTGGTGTTTCCGCCTCCATCTCCTATCTTTGTCTCTTATTCTCTGCCCTTTGTCTCTGTAGGACAAATAAATCTTTGGGCTGAGAACTCGGTCTTGGGGTATCCTGAACTGATACTGGTCTTTAAGGTACACACACACACACACACACACACACACACACACACACACTTTTTTTTTTTTGGTTTTTTGTTTGTCTTTTTGCTATTTTGAGACAGGGATTCTCTCTGTAGCCCTGGCTATCCTGGAACTCACCATGTAGAGCAGTCTACCATCAAACTTAGAGGTCCACCTGTCTCTGCTTCCCAAATCCTGGGATTAAAGGCGTGTGCCAACACCCTGGCATGTGATTATACTTACTGTAATGAAAAATGAGTTTGAGGAGCTGCAAAAGTAGGCAACTTCATGAAGATAATGAAGCAGTTGAGGGCGCCTGTATAGGCTAAACAGAGGCAAAGAACTACATGCACCATGACCAACAACGGTGAGATTATTGACAATGGGATTTATATTCCAGTGGGAAGTTTGAAAACACATTTAAAGAACACTGGCTATTGCTACCCTTTAGCCTGTCTGTATAGGTGTGAAGCTATAACCAAATGTCTAAAATTGATACAAATACACAGTTTCCAAAGACAAGCCTAGAACCAAGATCCTCAGGCCATGCTGATCCTTGTTGCTCTTGGGACAAGATTATTATTTTATGAGGTTTGGATACTTTCTCCTCCTGGAGAGTTTCCTTTGGTGGAATGTTTTCTTTTCTTGGATATTCAGTTTTCATGTGTTAGCCTTGTCCACTTCTGGCAAATCTGGCTCATCACTCATGCTGACTAACAGAAAGACTGCAGACTCCAGGGGTTACATGAGGCCTCCAGTCTGAGACACTGCTTGCTAGGGACTAGGTTCCAGCACCAGGTTCTTGATAAAAATCAGATAGGATACATTTAGGATTTTTTTTTTGTATGTTGGGAATGGAACCCAAGTCTCACACATGCTAGACAAGTACTTTACCACTGAGCTACACCCCGATTTTATTTCTTAGGACTTAAACTGACAATAGGTATAGTGTCTTAATATGAACCTGTGGAGGGTGTCAAAACAAGTCTCAATTAAGAGGGAATAAGATATAGTGTATCCTGGAGTCAAATATGAGTGACACATTTTGAAAATACGGATTAGGTTACCTAAAATTACCTGTTCCAACACGGTAACAGTTTTATGAATATTTTATAATAAAATAACAAAGAAAGTCATACACCAAGGCCCTTTTCAAATATGTTGGTAGAAATATTAGGTAACTGGGTTACAGCAAAATGGGAAAATCCCTGCTATAGGCCTTAGATGCTACATAAAGGCATTCTTATGGTCTTTTATACATCCCTGAGGTTTTTTATCTGTTAGCCACAGGATGCTCGGTCAGACACAGAGGTGGACAAGGAATGACTGTTAAGGGAGTGGCTAAAGATAGCCCAAGGTAAATTGTAATTAGGCCCCAGACCTGCAACATTCCAACCTCTCCACAATTACTGGTTTTAATCAGTTGATCAGACCTACGTGCAGTTCTTTTCAGGAACTTTTTTTCACAAGAGAGGATGTGTGTAGAGTCCCAGGAAAGGACACAGGAAAATACAGTAATGCATGGGCATTAAAGTGACACATACTGGAGGATTTTTGCTTCTGTTTTACTTAAGAGACTTCATATACACATTATACAAAGTACCACATCATACTTAGTATTGAGCCCTTTATTTGTAAACAACAACAACAACAAAAACAGCAACTATTTGGTTGTCAAGAGCTACACAACTGACACGGTTAGGCAAGCATCATGGGTGAGATTCACAGTCTGGTCCAGGAACTCTGAACCCTGGGCTGGACCACTGAACCCCATGGCCCTTCTGAGAAGCTGGCAGCCATGGCTTGTTTGTTTCCCCAGCCCAAGACCTGCATGCTAAAGCAGACCTGCAGGTCCTTCCACCATTTACTCACCTGCTTATATTGTAAACCACAGGGGCAATGACTTTTCCTCTGCAGAAACACTAGTATTAGTTTACTCCTACCCTCTAAAGTAGGGGGCCTCAAATAACAATCTTTTTATGATTTTATTTTTAATTATGTATGTAGATGGGTATGGGCAGGTAGCTATGGTGTAAGTGCAAGCTGAGATCAGAAGAGGGCATCAGAGTCCCTGGAGTTGGAGCTAGAGGTGGTTGTGTAGCTTTGGATTCTTTGGGTGTTTCAACTCTTCTCTGTGGAGCCCTCAGGTCTGTGGTTAGCAGTGGAAGAACTGCACTGCTGGGCTGGGATTATCTCACTTGTGCTTGTTTCCTGAGTCCCCTTTACCTCCATCAAACCAGTCTCAGATTGTGTACATGGTGGCGTCAGAGTACCATGAGAGACAACTCCCAAGGTACCCCTTTCAAGCCTTTGCTTAGTTATTTGGCAATGTCTAATTGGCCCGTCACATGACTGGCCCATACTTAAATAGATAGGTATATATATTCTGTCTCTGGAGTGGAAGCAGAGAATCTATTATTCTTTCTTTCTTCCTTCCTTTCTTTCTTTCTTTCTTTCTTTCTTTCTTTCTTTCTTTCTTTCTTTCTTTTTTTGTTTGTTTGAGACAAGGTCTGTCTATGTATCCCTGGCTGTTCTGGAACTCTCTATAGGTAGACCAGGCTGGCCTCAAATTCATAGAAAAACCACCTGTCTCTCCTCCCAAGTGCCAGGATTAAAGATTTGTAACACTACACTCAGCATCATATCTTTTTAAAGACAGGATCTAATGCACCCCTGGCTAAACTCAAACTTATTATGTAGCTGAGGATGACCTTGAAGTTCTGATCCTCCTGCTTCCACCTCTCAAGAGCTGAGATTCCAGGTGTTTACAACTATGCTGTTTGTCTGTGAGCATGTTTTGCCATTTCCCAAACATATCTTTCTCCAATATAGCTGAGCAGCCCCTATTT